CTATCAAAACAGGGGTCAATTGGGTTCCAGGTATATATATATATATAGAAGCCAAAATATGCAACGTCACATCTTTAGCGGCCTAGCGATATCACCGCTAAAGCCGCTTGAGCCAGGGGATTCCAGGCAGGGCCTTTGATTCCAACGTCCGCACTGGAGGTGCAGTTCGCAAAAGTTGCCCTGCAAAGGCTGCGCGATTTGCAACACAGCCATGCAGCTTCAGCCAAATGCCTGCTTTGGCTCCTGAAAGCCTTGAAAAGAAAGTTTCCGTTTCAGCCACGCGCAAAGCCCAAAGGTAGGCTACTTAGCTTAGATGGTTAGAGTGGGTGAGAGCACCTCGAGAACTACTATCCTTCCCCAGCCAAGTCGGCGGTAGGTTATGTCATCAGTGTTTCATCTGCACTTGTTCGCTGCCTGCGGTCTTAGGCACGCTAGCGAGACGCTAGTCCGTCTCATTGCTCGCTAGTCTCGTTGCGACCCAGTGGTCTGTTGGTACAGCCGAGCTAGGTGCCCTATAACGCTCATACTTACCTGTGGCCTGCGCTTCAATGGGCTGAGTTCTTCGTGAGTCTTTCGGGTGCATCCTTTATACTCCAGATGAAGGAGCAACCGGCCGCCCCACCACTTGGAGTCGTCTTGGTGCTCTATTTCTAGAGGGCAGAAGGGAGAGGAACTTCTCATCCCGATCTGAGGTAATTAAGCAGAACCTATAGGGACATAGAAGCCTTCAACCTCTGTCAATGCCCAGATTTCCGCGCGGCTGACACGGGGCCCCCCTGCCAGCGGGGAGAGAGCACGGCTTGAGCCGCTCATTGCGCTGGGGCAGGGGAGGACCGTCGCGTTGTTCTTTTTCGAATGTGAAACCGCTGCCGCCAAACCGTGATCCAGGACCAGGACCACATACCTGGGGCGGTGGCTCTCAAACGTCAATGCAAAACACAGGGAAATCAATCAATGTGTTGATGAAAACGAGAGAAAACTGGGGACCGCCAGGGTCAATCTCTATACGAGTATATAGAATCAGAGGTCTCCATGTCCACAAGTATGAAATAAACCAAATCTCCGTAGAAGGTTGAGGTTGCCAGGGGCTATCAGTACCATATGCACCTTCTATAGTTGCTCGGAGGCTGCTCGGACGCTGCGATGTCGGATCTCTGAGGGTGTCCCTCATCTGACAGACTGGGGGTCCGAACGACTGAGACCGTCCGAGTTCGGATGTCCTTAACATCATCGCTCGTTGACTCTGGGCTTGCTCTGCTCATGTCTCCCACTGAAGCAGTTAGGTTTCGATGTTTCTGGAGTGTTTCCCTGGGTACTTCGTAGCTTCAGCCCAGACTTTCGCACCGCTTCGCAAAAGAAAAAGACCAGGACCGACTCTGGCTCAACACCTGCCGCTCTCGGTGCCAGTCGACAGGTGAAGCTGTTCGCCACCAGCGGTCGGGTTGGTCCGAATTCACATCTTCTCTGTGATCAGCTCTATCACAGAGCCCTCGTCCTGTGGGAGTTCAGTTCCATCCCGTGGAGAAGTGAAATGGACATGATGGCCTCCACCTAGTAGCTTCTTGCTACTAGTAGTAATGGCCTCCACCCTAGTAGCGATGGCCTCCAGACATGTTGCGCAAGCTGGCGCGAAGTTCTGCTAGCAGACACATGGAGAGGACTCAACCGGGGGGGGCTTTTGGGTCTCAATGGGTCTCAACTCCAATCATAAAAAGTCCACCATTTGATGACCTTGGAATCAACGCTTCGTTTCCTGTTTCACACTCCACATCGACTGATAGAAAACCAAAGGAGGGCATCAGATGGCATGACAAATCAACAAATCCAGAGTAGATTCCCAAACCCTTGTTGGGCTCGACTCAACCAATTGCTTCCCTCTTGCAACAATTTGGACATCTTTGGACCGATGGCTCGACCCGTCGACATGGTGTGTTTGGATAAGGTCACCACTTGAAGAAAATGTGTCCTCAAAACGAGGTAATGCTGGCCTACCCTCAGAGCCACTGGATGTTTCTAGGTTCTCCTGCTGAAATCAACTGCTTCTCCGTTCCATTCTCTTCTACGATTCAGTCCTGGCCATTCCCCATCCAAGTCATTCCAAGCCGTGTCCCGCCACACCCGGTCGAGTGTGCAGCACACGCTCCTCCTGATGGATTGACTTCATGGCCGCCACGCTGTAGATGCCATGGGCGCCCTGGTCCAAGGACTGCGTAGTGTGGCGACCTTCAGGCTGGGCGCCCCGCGTGCCCCAACGCGTGGAAGGAAGGACCCGCTGGGTGGATGGTGCTGTGACCGACCCTGGCCAGCCCCAGTCTTGAGAGATGCGAAGGCTTCTGGGCGAGCCCTTCTTCTCTGTTTTGGTTCCGGATTCTCATAAAGGTCTCAGTTCTCAGGGTCTCAGGGTATCAATCCAATTCCAACCAAAAGTGTCAGGTGGTGCTGTGACCCCAGGACCTTTGACTCAATTGCAGTAAAGTGATAAACCCCTGCCTACATCAGATGCGATGTGGCCAATCCATGTAATACCCCACTCCAGAACTTGTCCATTAGACCTTGGGCAAATCAATCCACACAATATAAATCTGAGGCAAATTCTATAGTCAAATTCCAATAATGTCATACATTGTCGTTGTCGCGGTCGTCGTTCTTGCTGATGGTATGGAATCGACTGGAATGCTTCACCATGTGAGGAGCACTCGTTTCCAGCAACCGAAGCCACAGTGTCATGCGGCGCAAACACGCCACGTAGAAACTACGTGGGACGCCCCGCGGTCCGCAGAGATGGGAGTGGGGGCCCTCTTGGATGTGATATCTTTTCAGTCTACAAGTCTATAACTACCTCACGTCCTCCATTCCTCGCCAAAAAACAAAACATCGGCGCTTCCGCCACGTCCACCCCCCGCAGTTCTACTGCGTCACGCGGTGAGAACGGTCCGTGCCTGCCGAGAACTTCTGCAAGCTGGCAAAGCGTTCGGCGCGGCTCACGAAGCCCCGCATCAGCTCCTCGTTTCCGCCCGGGGTGCATGTAGATCGATGGAGGAAAAAATGGATGGTCACTTCGACCATGATAGACTTAGTGTTAACCTCTATGTTCAACACAACGTAACACAACCAAAACTCAATGTGTAAATGTACCTCTTGATAGAATGGGTCAACAGAAGACTGAAAGAAAAACGGACTTCCGGATGCACCGAAAACCTGGTGCCTACCTCCATGGTCCGCACCCCCATGGTCCGGTCCATACAGTCCGGTCCGGTCTCCTCATCCAGCCCCATGTCGGTCACTTCGATCCCTTCATCATCCATAGCCTCTACCTGACAGCACAAGTACGCTCATATATAAGTTATGCCCCAGTCGGTCGGAAGCGTCTGAACGAACAATAAGAAGAGAAAAAGCTTCGTGGCGATCCGCGTTCATAAGGCTTAACCAATACAATACTTGAGGCCGAGGGTAGGTGACGAAAGCCAGCAGGGGTGCATCCGGACTGGTGGGACATCAAGCGGAGTGAGGCAAATGCTCATGAGGTAAAACGTTGTGAACATGTAAGACACACAAACAGCAATGACACAGCCGACCTTAGAATTGAAGTCCCCGACAATTAAGGAAGCGTGGCTGGACTTTGCCACACTGTTCGATGCATCCGATGTGCTCACGAACCTGTGAGCTTGTTGAATCTGTTGCACCGTATCCCAAAACCTCCACGGAGGAGTTGAACCAGTGTGGATGCCATAAGAGGTGCCCAAGAGGTGTCCCACAAGCAAAACAAAGCTGCTTGCATGATTTGTTTGGTTTCTTCTATCGATGTCGATGTCATGAACATGTGAGCTTGTTGAATCTGTTGCACCGTATCCCGGAGGAGTTAAGCCAAAGTGGATGCCATAAGAGATGCCCGAGAGGTGTCCCAGAGGCGTCCGGGGGGGAGTTGAACCCACGGGGGGGGGGCCCCCCTACATATGAAGTTTTCACGTGATGCGGCGATCCCGAGGATTCCAGCCCCTCACTTGCTAAAGCAAGGACAACTCCAGCTAGCTGGTGCTAGCTTTCGTGATTAATATAGCAAACCCTCAAGGCAGACCCCCAAGGGACGGTTAATGGACACCCTTTGAACCTGTAAGGGGCCAGTAAGAGACCCCCCTTAAAGGGTCGTGGTCTTATACTGGGATATCAGGATATCTATGGAATTCGAGGGATATCTTTGTCATCTAGATTATATAAACATATATAAACCATCCCCAAACTGTATCCTGTGATATCCTATACAGTACCTCTTCAGATTCATGGCACACTTTGGCCCAAAGCGCTTGAACTAGCGGTATCACTGCTCTCCGTGGGGCCTTTACATGGACTCCATCGCTGCAGTCCGACCTGTTTGGGGGGTCGGCCAGGCCCAGGCGCCTCGCTGACGAGAAGGATGCCAAAGATCTGCAGATGCTGAAATAAGGGACCTGCCCGCAGGCGCCCGATCCAGGCGTGGGAAGGAACAGGGAGCAGCACTGTCTGGAGCAAGGATCCAAAGCAGATTGGGCCACGGGAAGCGACTCTTTGGAGGTCCAGATGCCGAGGCAAAACCAGCTGAAATAAGTAGTGATCGGCTGCTTTTCGCTGAGATATAGGCATGACTCATGACATGTACTGACGTACCGTATAATGTCAAGAATCTAAGAAGCTGACAACTTGCATAATGGCCTCCGAACTTCTTAATGATGATGCAGAACTGGTCACACCGAAGTCTGGCGTAGTAGCCTGCAGCCCAGGGTCAACCGGTGTCCAAACAGCACGGTGTCCGAATCGAGCTACAAATATCAAGGAACGGTCCAAAAGGCACACCGAACGTGGGTGTTTCAGAATGAAGGCAAGCTGCCACTATGCACTATGCACACAACTCTGCAAAACAGTTTTGAGGACAACAAGGGCTATTCTTCGACAGGAGGGAGGACTACTCTCAACTCAATCATGAGCCATCATGCTGATAGCATACCATAGCGATATGTTTGAAGGGGTCACCTTTTTCGCAAGGTTCGTTCAAATGTCAACTGATGCCACCTATAGCTCACGGCGATCTCCGCCTTTTTCCACCCCCCCAACGGCTCCCGCAAACCGGTCGGAACTCCCACCGGACTCCGAACCCAAAAAACAAGCGTCCGGACACGGGCACCGCCGAGGGGCAAATGCCCATGTTGGCCGCCAATCGGCCACGATGCGTCCATTCCTCGTGGAGTCTCGGAACGCATTTCGGGGCGAAGCGAAGCGGAGGGAAGCCGAGAGAACCGAGTGGTGACGAGTCACCGAGCCGTCGCTTCGGAAGAGGGTGCTTCAGGGCGGCTAAATGGATCAAAGAAACACATCTGGGAGGTCTAACTGAGGGAGGTTAGGTGTTGATACGCATTGGCAATGTGCTGACACTACCTGACCTTCAATCAGAGTGCAAAATGGTTTCTCCACCCAGCTTACCACTGCATGGAAGCGAGCCACAAGAATTTTTCAGGTTCGGATCTTCCAACGTGGAAGGGCTGGGATGGTTTCCGTTTGCCTCTGATGGTAAAGTGACCCAGTCTCCAAGCCTGGAAGGTGATCCAAGAATGGATCCAAATGTCAAGCTCTCTGCCAATGTAACAGGGCATCCTGTTGATCGACTTCATGCCTTTGCTACAGTGGCACTACAGTGGCAGGTCCTGATTTTGAGATAGATGATAGATGCCAGTTGAGCGATGCACCAGCTAATGTCTACGGGAGACTGCGGATATCAATTGAACAGTACCACACTGCGTTAGAGGTCAATGGTCCATGTCCTGTCTCTTTCGTCTCCGGTTAGACACATGTTTTTTCAACCATAAGCAACCCATGGTTGAGGCCCAACCCGACGGTCACCACACACGTCGGCGAAGACGTGGCAATCGCATAGACCGTCTATGCCATCCAAATAGATCGGTTCAGTTCATCGTGTCACCTTCAGTGACTTCTGTATACTTCTGTAGGCCAAGGACGGAAATCCTTGCCCAAAAGCACCAGGTGATTGAAAAAGGGTATATATATAATATATAATATATATACGTATTGGTCATTCCAAGGAGCATGCAGGTGTCTTCCCATCTTCCCCATGCCGTCGACGTCGACAGGAAATTTTCTCCATCCGAGCATCGGCCCAAAGGCACGGCAAGCAAAGGCTCCCTTGCACCTTTTCCGCGTCCATCGTGAAGTCGCCCGGCGGCAACACGTAGCCCATGAAACCCGACTCCTTGGACGGACGTCGCTGCCGGTGGCGCGGCGATGTTAGGGGGGGGGGGGCGTTCAGAACGGACGAATGGGAGGGTACCCAAAACACGGTCCAACTCCACTGAGGACTTATTGTTGGAAACCTCTTTTTCAATCGAAACTGTGGGACCGATTTGGTCGGATAAGAGCTCCAAACGGTGAACGTCTTCGTTGAATCTTGAGCACACTTGCCTTTTTCATGTGGGTGTTGATCTAAATTCCTTTATCCGCATCCGTCATCTTAGCCAAAAAAATACTTTAGCCAAACTTTTGTTTTCCTGCGTTTTATCTTTCGCCGAAGTATGTTGTATTTATGTGTGCCATGTATGTTGTATGATGGATATCAATTTTGTTCACGTCAATGGCTTCTTCTTTACTGGCAAATACAAAATAAAAACTTCCCTGTTTGTCAGCATGTGTCTTCTACTTAACTGTTGACACCCTGTACGTCTCTTTTGTTTCTCCTGGGTGTCAGAAAGAATCAAAATTGCAAGAACCACTGTAGTAGCCGGTCACTCAGACTTACTCATAGTGGGCTGGGGGTCAGATGTGGCAGGGTGAACTTTCGCCAGTCTTGAGCTGAACTTTCGCCAAATTTTCGCCTTTTGCGGGGTAGAGTTTTGTGGCAAAGCCACCCCCCCAAAGCAGGAGCAGGAATAGTTGTTGTAGTTGTAGTTGTAGTTGTAGTTGTAGTTGTAGTTGTAGTAGTAGTAGTAGTAGTGGTAGTAGTAGTAGTAGTAATAGTAGAAGTAGTAGTAGCTGCAGCAGCAGCAGCAGGAGTAGTAGTAGTAGTAGTGGTGGTAGTAGTAGTAGTAGTACTAGTGGTAGTGGCAGTGGTAGTAGTAGTAGTAGTAGCAGTAGTAGTAGCAGCTGCAGCAGCAGGAGTAGTAGTAGTAGCAGCAGCAGCAGCAGGAGTGCAGGAGTAGGAGTGGGAGTAGGAGTAGGAGGAGTAGTAGTAGTAGCAGTAGTAGTAGTAGCAGCAGCAGCAGTAGGAGTAGGAGTAGGAGTAGGAGTAGTAGTAGTAGTAGTAGGATAGTAGCAGTCGTAGTAGTAGTAGTAGTAGTAGCAGCAGCAGCAGGAGTGTAGGAGCAGTAGTAGTAGTAGCAGTAGCAGTAGCAGTAGCAACAGCAGCAGAAAGAACATCTTTAGCCATATCTTTCGCCAAAAAAAAAAAACTTTCGCCAACTCGAGAAAAAACTTTCGCCAAATGAGATTTTGATATGTTCCGGGTCATCGTCATCAACTATCCTGTCTAGGACCTTTAGATCGACAACCATGTACTGGAATGAGCGGATATATGAGTCAAGATGAGTGGACTGGGCCGCACCAGCACGCACCCAGGATCCTACAGTATCGGATTTTTTGGCTTTTCACATTGCTTTTACCAGAGGCCTTTCTGGGTTTCCCCATTAGTCTCTATACTCACCAACTGTACATTGCACCCAGACTGTGATCCGATTCTTTCGATGGGGGGTGAAAACGACGTGTCAACGGTGACCCCAATCGCCAAGCAACGATGATGTAAACGTCGTGGCAGTCAGTGCCTGGTAGGAAGACGTCCTGCGACGACGGCAGTCGCGTCGTCTTCCAACGCAGCCGTCGTCGTTTCGTTTTGGTGTCACCGTCCACGGTGGTGTTTCGTGGCGCCACAGGTGCCACAGCAACTGACACGAGTCCGTTCGGTGCATCGCTCCATTCCAAGTTTTAACAAAACAAGTCCATATCCTGTTGAGAATGCACCCAGTTTTCCTCAGTGCCCCAGTCGGTGTTCTGCCATGTTCCGCTGGCAAACGCATCCCTGCCTGTCCAGGGATTGCTGAATGCTCCTGGGCGACGGGCTCACCCCGTACCAAAAAACACCACATCGCACATCGGCCTAGTTGACAAATCATTGATTCACGAGTGAAATTGTGCGGGTAAGAAAACTTTTGGGTTCAAGAAAAAGGAGTCCTGTACGCAAGCACAAGCAAACATGCGTTTGGATGGCCACATCCGAAGCATTTACGAGACTTCACTTCAAGCACTCCAACAGTCAACAGACTAACCAAACCTTCCAAACTTGGAATGTCCGCCATCACGTAGTCTTCCTCTTGAAGATCTCGTGGACCGCCCTTGACCCAAGCGATCTCGATGTTCAAGGATTCATCCGCCCCTCCGCGCGCCCGCGCTTCGTTCTCTGGTCCTCCATCGCGTGGTGGCACACCGTCGTGAAAAAGTACCTCAGCTTCATCAGCTGCCAGGTCGTCCAATGGGAGTATAATTTATATAAAGGAAGCGGAGCGAGGGTGTCTATATGTGTCCTGCCTATCATACAGTGGGGGCGGAGTGTTGCCGGAGAGACAGAGCTGATATTCATAGTGGTTCAGGACACTGTGTTGTGCCAATTGAGCAAATGAAGGCCACAGTCTTTGTGATTGGACAGGCAAGACCCTTCCAAAAAAAACTGTCCATCTAGTTTCACCTGGACCTTATAGTCTTCCCATGACCCGTATATTTAGGGGGCTCTCCCCATTTTTGCTCAAAAGCCCTCCATTCCCGGAACATGAACACCGGATGCCACCTCAACTCCGTGATCGTCGACGAGGCCCGATGGGGCCCGATCTCCCGTTTCGCCGGCGGTTTCGGCGTCAGAAGCCACGGTGCTGATCGTCCTCGGTGGTTGGAGGCCAAATGTTCAAGTTCTGCAAGGAGGCCAAAAACATCTCCTGGGACAGAAGAGTCCAAAAAATAGGATTTCTGACAGAGGTGTCAGTTATCATGCAACATGGAGAAAAGAACCAGGTGTGGGGTGTTCAATGTTTCGGTTCCTGGATGTCCAACGAAAGTAGGAAGAAGCGATCGAAACCTGGGTGGAGACAAAGGCACCTCATACACCCTAGATCACCTGGGAGTGTCGCAAAACTCATGAGTCCTCGTGCAGCTGCATCTTCAGACGCTCTGGAATCTTTTGGATCAACGCCACGTCCGGCTCCTGAACGAAGAGGCGGAGGCATCCCATGGAGGGCTTAGAGTCTGAATGAGGGATTTGTGTTGGATTGAACATGCGGGCGCCCCTTCTGATCAGTCCCAATGCACATATGCCATTGTTTAAAGGCGCATTCCTAGTATTTCCCAGTGTTGGTTGGATACTCTGGCTTTGTGACGGATGTGGATTCCAACCAAACTTGGATGTTTGAAACGTGCATCGCGGCCAAAACCACAGGTCGAATTACTATGGATCGAATGCTAAACAATTCATCGCTGCTTGCTGCTTGATGATTGGGCAAAACCAAGAACGATGGTACTGACCATCATCATGATCTGCTCCCCCCCAAACACGCGGTCAGGGTTGTAAAAACTTGGATGTCTTTATCAAAAGGTTTCCCCTTGTTGTTCATCGACGTGCGTTTATCCTAAATCTCATGAGATGAGACCTGGTCTGGATTTGGCCCATGCAAGAAAAAATAGCAAGCTTCCTGAATGACAGAAGTTAGACAAGTTAGACTTTTAGACGGTCATGAGTCATGGGTCATAAACCTTCAGGTCGCACCGAAGCGAAAAGAAAGCATTTCCCTTTCTGAAGCATGACTGGACGGTGGCGGAGGAAATTCCCATCGTCCTTGAGACGAACCTCGAAATGACCCTCTCTTTGAAGTGCTTGTTGGATCTTCCTGAGCGTTGACATTTAGCGTTTCCCGGCCAAGGGAGGTATATAATATTATATAATACATATATAGCTGATGATGGGCTGGCTTTAGGCACATGTTCTTGGAGCAGACTCCAAGATGCATGTCTTGAGGCAACGAGGAGATTAAGGTGAATTGAGTGAGGATACATAATTTGAGGGAAACTCACACAGTAATTGGATGTAATTGGTAGTGTTGAAGCAAAGGGAGCCCGACAGGCACAGAAAGCGTTTGAAGAACACCATAGAACACCCAATACTGCAGGTTCTTTCGCGGTGGTGTTTGAACACCTGACACGCTCTGATGCCACCGAGCCACCCAAAGAGGCCCACTGAAAGGCCTCTTTCGCTGAAGAACTGGAGGAGCTTGGCGCGTTTCTGCGACCTCGGCGTGGAACGTTTGGCACGTGGCGACCTGGAGGTGGCTGTTAAAACGATCTCAAACACGCTCATCGCGCCAAGCAATTTTTCACGAAGAACAAAGGCAAACTCCCAGAAACAAGGGCATCGCCGGCATCGCTATCAATAATTTTCCAGAAACCAGATCGGCCGGTTCAGCAGACTCCCAGAAACGGCAGTCCCACTGCTTTCGAAAGGAACGCCAGTGTTGCTAGTTCCACACGGTTGCCACTGTCTGACTGTCTGCTACCACGCGGCTGCTCTGTGCGCGCGGAGCGCAGGGAGCTCATGGTACTGGTGATCTGCGTGATGAAGCTGCTGAAGACGCCGATGGCCAAGAGAATGATCACTGAGGCGTGGCTCGTTTGTGGCTTCGCACGACTCGAGAGGACGAAGCGAACGAGAAGAGACCAAACATTCCCAGGGGAATGCTCCAGATTCCTTTTGGTAGGGGATGATGCCACATTCAATTACCCGCAAATCCAAGGTCTTACTTGAACATGTTTCTGAGTTCCTGAAGCAATATTGAGTCCTCCAGAGTTCAGTTTCCAGAGTCTATCCATTCGCTTCCGATCCGTTCGATCCGCCCCAACCGGCGCGGGTTCGGAAGTGTGGCGAGTGGCCCAGTGCGAAGGTTCTCTCCAGGGCGTTGTCTGGGGCGATGTTGTTGGTTGCAGGTGTGAATTGCCTTGGTACCAAGACCAGGTCTGGGACTCCGGGATGGACCTGGGAAGGCATGGTGGGCTACAGACAGAAGCCGGTTTGGGACATTTCGCCTTTCATCGCACATGTATTCAAGACAACTGCTGTGAGAAGTGAATACATGTGCGATGTGTTTTCTTCCGCCGTGGGGTTCCCACCGGTGTGCTCTGCCTACGACGGCTCTCACTTTTCGCATCGCCGGTGCCAGTCTCATCATGGACCACGGGGAGGTGCCCTTTAGCCTTTAAGGCTCCCTTGTCATTCTTCGGGTGAAACTGGATCTCCAAACACGGTCTCTCTTCCATGATCCCTTCATTGACGTCCCTCTTAGATGGGTGTGAAACCCCCCAAACCTCCCCCTCATGCCTGTCTTCCGCGTTCGGCGTCTCCCCCCCCAGGTCTCGACACCCTCGGTCTCCACGACACGTGAGGGCCCAGTGCATCGAGGCCGAATACGACTCCGCGAAGGTGGCCTGGGCGTGTAACGGAGCGCCGCGGAGGGAGTCGCCGCTTCACGCGGCGCGACGCGCAGCGCAAACACCCACGGCACCGGAGTGAGGTCGTTTTCAGAGCAGAACGTAAGCAGAACTGATCACTGGATGCCGGAGAGAAAGGAGAGAGAGATATATATATATATAGCTGAATGTTTGTTGTTTCAATTGTTTACTGTTTCTTTGGTGTTTTTGATTTGACCTCGAGGAATCCGCCCAGGTATAGGTCCATGTTCCACCCAGGGAAGAGACATATTCACCCGCGGCTCCATCGTGTGAAGACAGTGACTGCTTCACCATCATGAGGAGAGTTTAAAATCATGATATCGTACTATAGGATTCGTAGCGTGAAACGGTTCTGGGAGCTATATAATCCACTCAAAGATAGACTTTGTGACTGGAAAATGATGGAAAATGAATGAACATGACATGGACACTGGTTAGTTATGTTCTGTCCACGTTTCCATGTTATTCCATGCTTCTATCTTCTTTCCCTATATATATAGCCTGAGAAGACACGCACTTCCTCTATCGAATGGGTGCAACATGTGAGTTTCAAGGGACTGCGGTTCAATGGGCTTCAAAATGGTTCAAGTCAAGGGCTTTTGTACCGGCTGGTCAGCATCAGTTGTTAGCTGCCCCACGGCGCCCGTGAGATTTGTAGTGCACACACATCAAGAGCCTTGCAGCATGTCCTTTCTCTTCTCCGGTATTATTCACCGTGAACTCACTGCCATCCGAGGCACCGTTTTGGGATCTAAGCCCAGCAAGAACATCCAACTCTTTCCATCAAACTCCCATGTGCCGATGCCAAACCAGGAACCTGCGAGGCCGGTGACGGCAGAACGGACGGGGCCTTAGGCCGGTGATACGCAGAATACAGCAATCCAAGACCGATCACAACGTTTCATGTCGTTTCGTTCGCAGGCCGTTTTTGGGTTTCCGGTCCCAGCCAGTCCCACAGAAAACAGAATGTGCGCAAGCCATTTTTAGCAACATAGTTTTCAGGCAAGCTTTTTTTGGTCCGCCCTTTGGGAGCAGCAAGGCACTTCAGGCAAACAAAAGTTTCTGTTTCTTGCCTGGCAATATAGGACACCATCCCATCAGCTGCAGCACCGTCAAGTCAAATAAATAGCAAGCAGTTCAGTGAGAACATTGACCAGAAAACAACTTCGGTCCGTGCATGATGCTAGGGAATGCGTCTTAGGGCAAGGCCGGGCAAGGGTTCTTGATGTTCAACGAAGCGAGAAGCGCAACGTTTTGTGCAAGGTCACACGTTCAGCCCACAGAAATCCTCCAGAACCCCATCCAAACGTAGCATGTTCATGTATTTGCCTATATGTTATATTGGTTTCTGTGGCATTTGGTTTTCCAGCGGAAGCGATGCGGCACGCGGCCCCATCCGGTGAGGTCTCACCACTGCTTTGTGGTGTCATCGATTGTCGTCGCACCGACGGTGTCGCCAAGAGGCATGCGATGATGTGGTTGATAAGCAAAATCATGAAGACTCCAGCCACCACCTCGAGAGTCCAGATCCCGAGCGAAACATGTGGTCCAGGTTTCGAAGACCGGAAGCCACGAAAAAATACGCCCAAGGAGACGGGAAGAATCAAGGGCCGTCAAACCGAGCTTCGCTTCCCGAGCTGCTTTTACAGGTCGTCCCTCGAATCGAAGATGGAATCATTGACAAATGACCTAACATGACCCAACCAGGCTTTCTGCTCGCTGGTCGTTTCTCCGGGTGGTTCGTGGTCCCATGCGTCGGACGTCGGACCGTCGGTCACATGGAGTGAGGTAGCGGCTGGGTGCCAGGTGAAAGGGGACGGGACTGTTGGCTGGTACCTCGGGCTGGAGGAAAAGAATGCCCCTACAAAGTCTATAGGGATGGAAGCATGGTTCATTGATTCGTGGCCGGGGGTGGCCATGAATCAGACATCAACAAAGGCTGGCCAAGAGTCAAGCACCTGGCAATGCATCAATCAGTTTCCCCAGAAAGGTTCACCGACTGTTCGACTCGTTCGACTGTTCGACTCGCGGTGTTTCTCTGCATTGTCCCCATAGTTCTCCGCAAGAAAGGTGCTGGAGGTGATCCACGTACTTCCTGGGCAGGAAGTACCCCTAAGTATATGTAACATACATGTACATACCCTATCGAGTACATGTTTTGGGAGGTTTTGGGTACGTACCTTCCATCCCCGGCCCACGCCTTCATGAGCATGAAGGTATGTGTCGACAAAAAGCGATTGGCCAGGACCATCATCTCCTGCCCACCGGCCGTCTAGGATCCAAAGAAAGGCCACTTGGCAAAGGAGGATCTGAAGCGCGAAATAGTAGTACTGCACTTGTTACTAGTAGCGATGCACTGGTGGGGGACAAGTGACAAGTCTCACAAATAGATCCATGATTCATCATGAGTCCACTTTCTTGGCAATATAATTATATGACAAAGCCGGGACCAGCTCCACCTGCGGCAGCATCATAAGGCCTGATTGCCTTCATCCAGTGCTACCTCCTGGAGATATCTGCTCTGTCTCACACTGTTCCTTCGAGCTAGCAGCTAGCTTGACAGAAGCAACTCTATTCCAAGACATCTCGGGTCCATTCGTTCTTCGGGATCCATGCGATTGGAAGGGATCTGAAAAGGTAAGTCCGATTCTGCCCGCCTGCTTTCCGCATCTGCCAGGTGCAGACTCCACCCTCCCCGTTCCGCTGAAGATGGGCCGCGGACTCGGGTACCTCGCCTGCTGCAACTTGGCCACCCGCAGCAAGCGCAGCAAGCGCAGGAGCCGCAAGGCGCGCAGGAAGCGTGCAGAGTGGAAGGCGGTCAGCTCCACACCCACCTGCGACGGTGATGCGGGACGGTCTGAGACTTCCGGCCCGGTCGTCGTTTTGAATTGACTACCCTGAAAGTCCAAGGACGATACTTTGCCCCATTGAAGTCAAGGAAGTTCAGAAGTTCCCTTTTACTAAAATCATCCTAAAAATGGTTGTGGACTCCTAGGGTAGTAGTTTGCGGAGGTCTCCCCATGATTTGAGGTGTTTTTTTGTCGATTCGCACATAATCAACCTGTGGTTTGGTGGATAAAAAACTGTGCGGCAATCTGTGGATTTCCCCCAAGCAAGGCTTTCGTATCAGGGTTCGGTTGGGCCCCTTACGGCCCCTTCAATCGGTGAAGTGCGCCGAGTTCCAGTTCCAGTTCCAGTGCTTTGCCACCTAATTATCACCGTTCTTGCATAGCGCATCGAGGCATAGATTGGATTAGATGTTCCAGCATAGAACGAATATATATATATATATATGTGTAAATCAACCCCATTTCTGATGCACATACACACACAGCTGACCGTTGCGTCTTCCTCTGCATACAAGTCTCCCGCGCTGATGGCCCTTAGGTCTCCCCCCGGCCTCCCCCGAGATCTCCACTGCCGTGATCCCCGCGTCGATCACGATCACCAACAAGTCGATGAAGAACCTGCGAAGCGAAGCGTCGCTTTGCCACGCATGCTCTGTGACGCTGGGTGAAAGTCCACGAACCGGGGCCCCAACACGGCGGGGGGGGGACCCTCCTACAACAACCTCCTGGGGGTGGTGGGGAGCTACCAAGGAAGACTGGAAGAACAGCTTTGAAGATGGAGGAAAAATCCATCCGCTTTCGGAATCCAACCCCGAACGGCCCTAACCACTCTGAAATCCTCAAAACATAGGATTTAGATGGGTCAAATTCAAGCCGTTAATCCTTCCCAGCCCAAAAGTGCTGGCAGCTGATGTGGTCAAGGACAGGGTATATTGTGGTTGGGGGGATGGTATTCTTGACTTTGCTCGAAAAGGATTGGCCATCTCCTTGAACAATCGTTTTGCCTTCCGGAATGGGGTCTCCGATATGTCAAAACCACTTAAGACCATTTAAGACCTATATTAATTAATATTCGTATGTTTAATATACATAGAGCAGATGTGTGATACATTGTTCTATTCAAAGTGGAATGAGATCAACTTCCTCGTCGTGCCTTGCCAGGGTTCACCCATCAACTGCAGATCAACTTACCCAGAGACCACGTCAATGCACCGGGTGGTGCATAGCGCCCGGTGGAGCACCTCCCAGGCGAGTTCACCCCCCCGGACGAGAGCTCGCTCGATGTCGCCAAGCTGCCAGGTTTTCAAGTAATGCCTGCGAGATGCGAAAAAAGATGCGAGGATGAAAACGACCCCAAAACAACAAGAGCATGAGGATGTCAGCTCAGTTCACTTCATATCCTAGGTTTTTAACAACTGAAGAAGCGTCTAGAGGAAATGTTCCCACACCACCACCACCACCACCACCACCACCACGACAACGACCACGACGACGACGACGACGACGACGGCGGCGGCGGCGACGACGACGACGACGACGACGCCGGCGGCGGCGACGACGACGACGACGACGACGACCGTCGTCGACGACGACACCATTTAGCCAGCATGTTCACTAAATCCCCTTCCCATCTGATCGCACTTCCTGTTCGGAGGCTAGCCTATTCAGTCAAGGTATTATTTCGATGAGTTCTCCCTTGGGAAAGTTGGCGAAGTCAGGGTTTCACCTGGTTTATTTATGTTAATTCATCCCCAAACACATCCAAGCACCACATCTCACACGCTCCCAAGATCTTGCGTTGGAACTCCCGATAGCCCGTTTTCCATTAGGCTTGGTTTTCCGATCCAAGGACTGCTTTTGAGAGGCGCTGGCTATCCCAATCTGGCTGGATTCTTTTTCAATGGCTGGGTTGTGTTCGAACAGCTCTGGAAGGTGTCAGTTGATAGGATGATATAGGATGCGTCCAAAGAACATGATCCCGAACACCTGGTCTTCAAGACTGGTCTTCATCTTGCAACTGAGCGAACTTTCGGCGTCATCCGTTGTCGTGCATTTGGTTCAAACATGACCCAACAAAAAAGAAACATAAAGAGACCCAACCGTGACGCCGCAAATCAAACTCAAGCCTGGGTAGTGGAATCGGTGGAATCGGTCCTTCTACCAATTCTATACATGACCAATCAGGACCATCTGCCTGCCACCTCTCGAAACAAATTGCCTCTTCCAGACCACAGCAAGTAGCTTCCGACACCAACCTCCACCGGCGTCCCGACCCTCACGACGCATTCGTCCTTGTGCGCCTGGCGAGCTTGGTGGGGCGTAGCTCGACCGAGCCCTGGATCTCCAGTCCGAAGAGGAAGTGCAAAGGCATGTCGAAGAGCCAATACACGAAGGAGATCCTGCCGGCGCTGCCGTCTTTTGGGGTAGGAACTTGGTTTTGGGCATGGACGGGCATGGAATGGCATGGACGGGCAGCAGGCTGTCTTGATCTGGTGTGCTTGTGAGTAGGCAGAACACCCACACGGAAGCCACTTCACACAAAACACACACACACACACAACAAACCCAGGTGATCTTTCGCTGATTCGCTTATCAATGAGGAATTCCACCAGTGAGTGGTTGGTTTCAGGGTTGGGGTATCCACAATCAACTCAATGGTGTTAAACCGAAATCTGGATTGGAGGGAGGTGGCCATTTCTCAGCTCTCATAGATTCTCTTAGATTCTCATCGATTCTCCAAACACACCAAAAAAAACACCGGTCCTTGCAACCATCGACAGAAAATCAATGAACTCCGGCAAGTCGAAGATCCCCAGCGGGATGGTGATGAGATCCCACAGGATCCTCGGCCGAGCGGCTGTGGCGGCTGTGGCGGCTGCGGCTGCGGGGAGCAAGGGTGGATGAGCGGAAACGCGGTCTGAGTGGACATCTTTAGACACGGAGTGAGGGGACCTTTGGACATCGACATCAACAGAACTTCAGGTGCCAAATGCTTGGAAAGGTCGAGTGAATGCCTGTTTGATCATATGATATCATATGTTATACCAAATGAGAAACCTTGCGACGAAGCACCTTTATGAAACATATGAAAACAATGTTAAAGCATGTTAAAGCCATCAGCAGCAAATGTTCCTTTCAATTCAAATAAACTGGCCGTGCAAATTAATATTGACTGTTGACTAATAATAAGACCCCCCTATGCAGATTTAGGACCATTCTGACAGTCAACGTTGAACGCAAAACTGACTACAAACAGGCTAGATCAAAGGTCCACCATCAGTGAAAACAAGCTGATCCATCATCTTTACCCCAATGCCTGCCACTACACTCCCTAGAACTAAAATGGAACATGGAAGTGGATGGCATGGCCTCTGGAAAGACAATTTTCCTCGGAAAGAGGTGGTTTTGCGCTTCCATGTTAGTTCCAGGGAGAGTAAAAACCATGTCCGTGACCAGTCACAGGAAGCTCCCAATCATCGACCACGTCAGCTGTTTGCTGCTACCTCGGGTTTGTTTGCCCGCCGACCGAGGCTTGACAGGGCGCAGCAAAGTGAAGAGACCCACGGGCCAAGGAAGTAGCAAGAGAGAATTAGGATGTTTTACGTTAATTCCTGAGCAAAGTTCGATAAAGTTCGCCATTAGGTTGGAGTTGGAGGCCATCGCCCTTAGGTTGGAAGCCATCGCTACGATGTCCGGAGTTTGGAAGAAGCCTGTGGAAGACACGGTGCGGTGCGTATGTCCATCATCAACTCGCTCTTCGGGTCCAAAAGCAAAGGTTTGGTCAGAAATCGTGAGGAATGTTGGCCGTTGGAAATGGCAGAAGGCAAGGGTTATACTGTGAGAATTCATGGGTTTGTCTCATAGTTGTATTTGATACATACCAAAGATTACCAAAGCATATCAAAACAAGGGCATGTATCCTGAGCTCTGAGGTTCCTGTTGCTTTCTGCAAACTCACTCATGCTCAAAATGCTTTGTGCAGAAGAGGACCTACCGGGAGAGACGAAAGCACCTGAAGAACAATTAAAGCAGCAGACGGCAGACGGCTGTTCCAAAACACAAAAACACTCCCCAAAGGCCGAGTGAACCGAGCACAGCGCGGTTGTACTCGAGCTGAGCGGCGCGGGGGCACAACGAAGCCTTGTAAACAGCAGTCTTCCTGCAAAGCTTGATTCATCCTGGGCCACGGGAGCCCAGAAACACTCAGGAGCCAAAAGCAACATGATGACTGTCCTGGACCAAACCTCGGCTCTAAGATGCTCTGAGCTGGGGATGGTGCAAAATAGCCTCAACTAGTCACCGAGGCAGTCAGTCACCGAGTGGTCCAATCCTCAAAATGCTTCGTCCTGTTGACATCTGAGCTGTGGAGCATTGAGATCGTCAACCGGCTCGAGGGTCGAACCAGGGGTTTCTCACATGGGCCGGTTCTCGGCCCCAACGGAAAAGAAATGGCTCAACCGGCCCGTCCAAACGGGACGAATGAGCAGGAGTATGCAGGAGTCAGAAAATCCACCCGAACACTCCATGACAGTGGAGTATCTGCCTACATTGGCCCCTGAAAACACCCGAATGTATGCAAATCATGTCATACATGGAGTGTGCGGGCCTTCTTCACATGGAGCGTGTGAACCGCAACACGAAGCCCCCGGTCCTCATGTTGGAATCTGACGGCACCTTACTGGAACGGAAATTCATGTGCTTGCGCCGAAGGACATCCTCGCGGCAGCGCTTTTGTGCGGGTGAAAGAGAAGACATGTCGTTGAAGTCATGAAGTGTTTGAGGCAAGTGGCTGGCATCTGAACAAAGAGGTTTCTAGTACCTAAACACAGGGTACTCAGCCATTTATCGCCACTCAGGGCCCAGGGCAGAACAATTCTTCACAATTCTACTTGGAGACCAATTGCATGCAAAACTGTTTGAAGTGAATCCGTGGGTTATCGGTACCGAACACTTGGATTTCTATCTAAATGATTATGGTGATCCATCGAGTTTCCATCAGATTCTGAGAAAGCTACCAAATATTGTGGGTATGTGAGCGTGCAAATATAGATCAACAGCCAAATTTCTACATTTGACATGAGGGACGGTCAAAACTCCTTATTCTTCTTCAACTAACAAATGGTCGTCATTGGTGTTGAATTGGACCTTATCGTTTTATAGTGTTTTGAGTTCGCCGCGTACTTATGACCATATACAGCTCTGGGGTTATCGGTTTTTAGGTGGACCTTATCGTTTTGCGGGGTTTTGTGCACAAACCTACCCCTCTTTACTAAAGTGGTCTTCGCATGTTTTGACCGTCGTTCACGTGCAAAATATGCAAGATATACCACTCCACAATCGATCTTCCTGGAGAGGTGCAAAAACTCCGTTCAGTGGCTGCTGTCCTGAAAAGAGACCTTCCAAACGCTTCGCATGTGAAGTTCTTCTCGGTGCAAAGCGGTAGGCCTGAGCTGTGGCCACATGCTCAGTTTATGGTGAGGTCAAGCAAGTTCTAATCGCATGATCGGTGATCCAAAACGATCAATTGCAACCGTCCACCCAAGAAAGCGAGCAGCTTCGGCCATCGAAACCCGAAGTTTCTTCGAGGAAACTCCAACATGACATGTCACATGTCTGACTGGTTTCTCTGGCACCCTGGGCCCTGGTTGTCCAGACCACCCTCAGAATGAAGAAAGCGGTGAGGTCAACCTCATGTGGTTTTGGTTCTGACCCAGAGTCATTCTACTGGTTGCCTTCTGAAAGCATCTGGATTCCCTACATTTGATGCTCCTCATATGGCAATCTGCAGCCAATGGTCTCCTCGATCTCTTGCCACTGTGAGTGCATTGAGTCCTCCATCAACCTGACCACAAACACGTGGACGCCGAGTGCGAGGCGAAGGTCCCATCGACCGGACCCCTTTCTGCCGGTGTCGGCGACTGCCCCCGTTACCAGCGAAGCAATTCCACCATTACCGGGGGGAGCTTCTTGCTCCTAGTAGCGATTCCCTTGCTACTAGTAGCTTCTTG